AACACGCCCGTGCGCCCCCAGCCCCAGAGCCTCGGCGTGAAAGGTTGGTGCGTTTCCCCACTGACTCTTTTTGTCCGCACCCGAGTGGCGTCTGCGAGTCTGAGCTGCAAAGTTACTGATTTGCAGGCTGCATGTTAAGGCAGCCCATGTAAGTAATTTCTCCGGGCACCCCAGCAAAGGAGAACAAATCGCTGACAAAGGCGAGCGCTTTCGATTCAGCGGCGTCGTTAAGGCAACCCCAAAGTATTCCTCCTATAATAAGTTCCACTTCAAAGGGTTTCTCATTCAGCGGTGACTGCTTCGCACTTTTATTAAGTCCGGGCTTTTTCACTCGGAGGAATCATCTGTTTGGTTATTTTTCATCGTGTTTATTTTTCACCATTCACACAGTACTTGTATTAAATAAACAAAGAACAATCGCTCTGCAAATAAAAGTACTTAGGTGGGGAGAGAAGGAAGAGGAACTGGGGCTCTGGCGCCCCTGCCCCTCTCCCCCACCTTTCTAACATCACCCACTCCCCACCCCGACTCTCCTCTGCTCCTATCCTCCTTTCTTCATTCTTTCTCTCCAGCTAGGAGGTTCTATGGGTGAATCTTAACCAACACTGAAGAGAGGGGGAGAGAGAGAGAGAGATGCATTTCTGATGAGGTGCAAATGTACTGAACTAACTTGGCATGAACGTAAAGGTCACTCCAGCTGTGACTCGTCGACTGTCTCGAATCGCAGTGGCCCCTCTGCTTGCGACTCCCCTGGCCCTGCCCACTGCCATAGCGATCCTGACGCTCCGCGTGGATGGACCATAGAAGCAGTAGTTTGAATTTCAAAAAAAAAAAAAAAAAAAAAACATACCTTTGAACTTCTTTCTGCCTGATTAGGCACTTGCGTGTATGTTAGTGTGTGCTCAGGGAGTGCGTGGGCATGGGGCTGAGTTTTGTCCACCGAGGGCAAGTGTGCTGGGGGCCCCAGGGCAGTTTCACCCCGGGTCTCCTGCCGGCCTCCCTGTACCTCCAGACCTGGAAGTCTTCCGTGGCTGGGCGCCCTGTTTTGCTACACTGTGGGTGGACTGGCAGGCCAGCAGTGATGTCAGGGGATGGAAGTACGGTTAATAATCAGCGGTTGGGTTGTTTTGTTTGCCTTGTGATCAGCCTTCTTTTCTGCTGGCTTATGGTGATCACTTGAGAAACCAGATGTCTCCCCTGCCCCCTCCCCAGGAGCTGTATTTCCTAACCAAACTGGGATTTAAAAATACTAGTGGCCAGCACCTCTTGTCCCATTTTGTAGACAGAGAGATGATAGATGAAAGATTGCTCGGTGGATAAAAGCACAATGGTCTCCAAAACCTTCCCCAAAGTGAAAGAGATCACTTATAAGAGAGTGCAAACTGTTTTCGGAGAGTGGGGCCTTCTTTTTTCCTGTCCCTAGTGCTATGATGCTTGTGTGGCCATCTTAAGAGAATATAATTCCCACCCTCAAACTCTATGGAGTTTAGATTTTAGGACCATTAGCTTTACCAAAGATCATCCTGAATGGGAAAAAATATATACATAAGCTTCAAATAGTTGTGCGTTTGAAGATTCTCCTAGCCTGGAAAACAAAGGTAGATGATTTAAACAGTATTTGCAAGGGCCACCGTTTTGCCTAGGAAAGATGAAGTCTTTGATGATAGCCAACTTAGTGTCAATAAGTGGCTTTCTTTGAGACATATTCAGATGGGAACGTCTTGCTTGCCAATTGCCATAGAAATCTTAACACACCATGAAGATTGTCCAAGCGCCAAGCCTTCCGTTCTGGACTAAATTACTTTGAAGTGGCGCAGGACGAGCAGTGGTCAATTTTAACTCTATAGACTGGACAGAGAACACTGGGAGTGGGAGATTGTGCGTTTTAAAGCAGATAATAAGAAGGGGAAACTTGTTTTATACACTCTATACAAGGTTCTGCTCATTGTCAGATATCTTTTATCTTTTATATTTCCCATGAATGATTCATGTCTTGGTGGCTTTGTGTCACCCTTCTTTTCACAAGAAACTTCATTAGAGAGCTATAAGTTTTCCCATTGATTGGGGCCCTCATTTATGAGTGTTTTTCTCCTTCGTGTGCTGGTTATTGTCATCTGACTTAAAACAACTCTTTGCAACCTGTTTCACCTTTACTGCATTTAACAAACCTGACTCTCAAAAGCCACTATAACCTTTCAGAGAAATGCTTATTGACATTACTAGCAACTGCTTTTAACTATTTGCCTTTATCAGTTTTGTATCTGCTAACAAAAACGCAAGCAAACATCCAGCCTAGTAAACCTGTGCATAGCCAAATACCTTCATTTAAGCCACCTGAATATTTTGCTGTCATGCAAGAATCTAATTGTTCTACGCACCTGCCCCAAAATGCTGAGCTTACATTACCAATAGCCACTCAGCTTCCAGGCCAAACTATGGTAAAACTGCATCTTGATCTCCCATGCTGTAAGAGGCATTCCATGTCCACTACTCAGTGTGATTCAATACCCATCTCAGCCCCTGACGGATTTGGCTTCCACCTTCTTTGTGTCTAGAAGCCTCACTGTCCCTCCCTCCAAGTTTTCTTCATTCTTTTTTTTTTTTTTTTTTTCCCTTTTGGAGGCTAGGCACCAAAGAAATGCTAAAATTCACTTTTCAGCTTTTCACTGATTAGAATCACTCAGGATATTACTTATTTTAACAAATAAATACAATCACCCAAAAGATTTACGCTACTTTAGGTATCGCCTGCAAGGCTTAGTCTTCATAAAAATCTCATGGCTCCTAGGTAAGCTTGTAAGCTGGAAGTTAAACCAGGCAACAAAAATATTACATTGCTTGGGGAGAGGCTAAGAAATCAAGAGATCAAGGGAAGACATTGACTCAAATTAGCACAACCTGTTCTGTTTGTAAGAGAATGAGAGATACGCCAATAGGTAAAACATCAGCAATAATAAGAAGAATACCTTTATTAAATTTGTTACTTCATAATCATTCTTGCTTGCTCTCTATTGGAGGTACACATTTTAAGTTTTTATTTTAGGTGTATCAAGAACAAATAAATCTGTGGCAAAGAGTTAACCTATGTATGGCAAAATACATAAAATACATATTCCTTTGTTTCATAATAAATAAACCTGTAGCATAATAAAGAATAGTGCAAACTACCATTGAAAAAGTTGTATAAATAAAACAACTCATTATACATCAGGAATATTTTGTTCTAATAAGTTTACGATACATAAATTATCCCCCCAAAAGTTCATAACTTATCTTTTCTGTTTGAAAGGGCTTTGAAAGTGAATAATATGAAAATCAAATAAACTTTTAAAATGTAAAATTATCTCATATTCAAGTTTTACGGTCTTTTTCTTTATAAAGGAGGGTCTGCATGTTTCATATTCACCATAACAATCTGAAGACAACATTGAAAGGCTTTCCAAGTGACAGCACCATGCACTGTACTAGTCATATAATATATCTATAAACTATATATAATCTCATCAACACAATGCAAAAAAGACATGCAGGAAGAGTCTTGGTTTTCACATTACATTGTTCATTCAAGTAAGCTTAAAAATATATTTTTCCATTTTCTTTCCTTTTTTTTTTAATTAAATAAACCATGGATCATAAATGACAATCTTTCACCAAAATGTATAATATAATTCTTTGGTGTGCTTTGAACTCTTCCAGGAAAAAAAAAAAAAAGGATGATGTCTGAAAATAAATTAATTCAACTGTACAAATAATAGTGTTCACATACAAGTTATTAACAATGACAAGACTACATCAACCACTCACAGCACACAAAACAAATTTCTACAAACCCTGGGGAGGGGGTGTCTTCAGGGTCTCTAAGGATAAATTAGTGCTCTTTAGTATATCTGTATGATGTTTCTGATGGACTACATTTTGCACGGGAGATGTGTTGTACCAACCGAAAATAAATTGACTAAGAGTTATTGTCCTAGGTCCTTGACCTTTTTTATCCTAGCTTGACAGCTCTGGCAAAGGTCGCACATTCATCAGTGTTTGGTGGTAACTATAAACCTTTTAAAAATTTTAATATGTATGGCAACTCCCTCCCCTCTTTTAATGTAAATCATATACTTCACACACTGTCATTTTCAAATGGATTCCAGTTTGGTGTGCTCAGTGCTCAGGTGGAAGAAAATGCATTAAAATGCAGCTTCAGGCATTGAAAAATAGACTTTTTAAAAGGTTGATACAACAGTATAAAAGAGGGGTTGGCCTGTTTATCAAAAACAACAGCTTTCCAAAAAAATAGGCATGATGCCATCATCACACCTCCACAAGACTTGACTGTGAATGTTGGCATCCCAAAGAACATAGGATCGAAAACAGAATCTCTTTATTACACAATAAGTTTGGACAGTTAGGAGGCAGCATCTGAGAATTCAGATTTAAAAAAAAAACAACAACACCATAGAGGAAAAAGAAAGCACTTGAATTTCTTCTATTTTATAAAATATCACAGTTTCACAGTTGTCTTATTGCAGCAGCTTTTCTTCCCTCCACTTTCGCTTGAGCAATCACAGTAGCACAAGATATGGAGATATATTAAGGTTGCTGCATCTTTTTTTTTTTTAATCACACAGTAGAATACTGAAGAAATAATCCTGTATAAAAATATTGTGTTAAGGTGAGATCAGAAAATTAAAAATTACAAATAATAAACTCAAAGGGTTTTTACAAATATTTTTGGACACAGGTACAGTCCAGGATCTGTTGGCAATGCAGCAGGTGTGTAGTTTACAATCAAGAGGCCTTGGCAGAATTAGAGTCCAGCAAGGAGGCTCAAAAGCAGCCTACAGTATGGTGTTAAAGGCATTTGAGAGGCACTCCAGGAAATGCAGAGGGCCTTGTTGCTGTGTTAAGTTCTGACTTAATGCTCTTTTTCTCCCCCCTTAAAAAAAAAATACATACATATATATATATATATGTATATATATATATATATATATGTATATATATATATATATACGTTGCATCAGCAGTCTGTATCTCGACTAACTAATCTCTCCATTTTTCTTGGTACAATTTGCCCCCAGCCCTGTCCTCCTGCAATGTACAAGTCCAGCTTGGTTGTTTTTTGTTTGTTTTTTTTAAGAGAAAAAAAAAAAAAAAAGCCCAAATATCTTAATTAAATTAATTAAATGTACAAACACCATAGGGTTTCATACTGAATAAATAGGGCTAATTAGACCCGGTGGCAAGTCTGAGTCACGGGTTTGTCTCAGGCTCAGCATTGTCTCAGGTTAGGAAGTGGTCCAAGGACTCCCACTTATTATTTCACTTATTATTATTAATCATAAATTCTAATGTATCGTCCGCACAACTTCGGGATTCCCGTAAATTTCCTCATCTTCAGACTCGGAGGTGGTTCCATTGCTGGAAGGGGTGTGGAGGTGGCTGGGGGCCCCACTGGCCTGGCAAACGTACCACTCATTGAGGTTGGTCACCTGAGGGGACAGAGTGCTGGAGCGACTCCTGGCTGGGTCCAGCACGGGGGACAAGGGGGCACCCACTGGGGTCCCCACTGATGAGTAGCCAAGGGGTCCTGGAGAAGGTGGAGGGGACTTGCAATGAATCTTCATGTGCTTCCTCAGGGAGCTTGGGTGAGTGTAGGATTTGTCACAGCCTCGGATCTTGCAGTAGTAGGGCTTGTCACTGGTGTGGACATGGGAATGTTTCTTCCGATCACTACTATTAGCAAACTTCCTGTCACAGCCATCAAATTCACATTTGAAAGGCTTTTCCCCTGCAACAAAACACAGGAAGAGTCAACAATGGCTTTCCAGAGACCCCTCACTTGAGAGAAGCCTTGGAGCAGAACCAAGGATGTGTTTTTCCTATTCTCCCAAAGACCACCTCCCAGCCTAATTCTTCTTCCTAATTCATAAAAGGGAAGGGATATTTCAAGGATGGGCCTGGAGTCCACTGGCCTGGTGGCTTTGCTTGGACCTGGGCTCCTAAGAGGCTGTCAGCCCCTGCAGTCCCAGAGGGGTCAGGGTGAGATCCCCAGTGCTGAACTAAGAGCAGTATATAACACTGAAGCCCACCTGGGACCCGCAGACCCCCTTCCCCAACAGACATACTCCCCTCAGGGTCTGTACACTCAAAGACACAAGCAGGAGATCCTACTGTCAAAATAAACACAAATGATACTTCCAAAGCCACAGGCAGAAGTAAGCATATAAGAAAGAAAAAAAACAAACACATACACTAAATTAAAAGTAAACTGGGGATACAGTAAAATTATAATAATGGCATTTCCTTTCAGTGTTCCCCAGCATTTCATTGATGGAGAGGGGCAGCAGGAGAGAATGTGGAGCTGGGAAAGGGAAGGAGGTAAAACAAAACAATGCCTTTCTTTAGAAACAGAGGCACCTGTGAAACACACTCCCAGCACTCAGTTTTTACAGGGCTAGCTGGGCAGAGAATAGGCTGTTGGCCTCTGCATTCTACAGCTCTCCTCACTACTTGCAGGGTGGTTAAGAGCACAGCAGTACAGAGCCATAACAAACATTAATAAAGACCACAAACCTTAGCAGAACCTACCTTTACCTTATACCATAAATATGGTACATTTGACTACATTGCTTAATAGTCAAAAAGATTTTCTGAAAAAGGCAAGGGTCTTTTGGCCTGACACCTCCTGAAGCTGACCTAACCACCCCGAGAACACAATGCCTTTAAACACAAGGCCTCCAGTCCAGGAAATGGAAATACTTAATAAGACAACTAGAGAAATTCAGCCACACTACATTTTGGTGTTAAATAGCAAGAAAAGGAAGACAGCAAGCAACAGTCTAACTGCATTTTCCCTCTCCCCTTGGCATCCCTGAACTTGATATAGTTGAGTCCAGAATTGAACAAATCATTTTATACATATTATTGTATTCATAATATTTTCCTCTTTTATGTAAATAATTTAAAAATAAAGGTGAATTGCTCCCATTTCAGCAGCTCCTCTGGTGACATACTAGGTAGGACGTTTTCCCTTGTTTTGGATAACTTATTTTCAAAAAGAAACTATGAAGCCTCAGCTTAGTGTACACACATTTCTGTGGTGAATTTTCTTGCAACTGCAAGTGTATTTTACTGCAGTGAGTTTTGCCAACGATAACTGCCTCAGTGGCAGAGTCTGCTAGCACATCTGAGAGTATTCAGATGGATGCCTGGAATTTAACTTTCCCTATATGGAAATACTGTTTTAAAATAGAATTAGACATTATTCAAATATGCCTCCTACAGTGATATATAAAGAGAGAAACAACACAATTCCATGATAATCACAACCTCTAAAATTCTCTGTGGATGAGTTTCACCAAAAACAAAGCAAATTCCTTTTTATCAAAACAGTGATTTGTCCTGATTTCTATATTACCCTTTAAGTCATAGATAAGACCAAGTTAACATCACATTCTTTTTAAAAAATTAAAATCAGCCTTTCTTTAATGTGGAGGCGTAAGTGGGTTTACTTACCCACCCTACGAAAAATGCAATGCTGCTTTCAGCATGGTCATGTTTCTGTTCAACCTACATATCCCGGATTGTGAATAAACGCTTTGAACACTGCTAACTCCTCCACTGCACATGAAAAAGGCAAACAACTAGATTCAGGAAAGGGAGGGATTGGAAGGCAAGGTGGAACATTAGAGGTAAATAAAGGAAGAGGTGCTCGGAGAAACAGCAGAGAACCAGGCCAGGGCAATGGAACGGCCACGGCCCGTGTGCTCAGGGGACCTAAGGGAATGAGCAAATTCTACCTAACTGGAAAGGCTGAGAGACTTCAGTGTTTACTTTTAAGATTCCGACAGACGGGTCACGTCAGAATTTAACTATTTACAGAGTTTGAGAGCCTGGAGCCTATGGGAAAGTAAGGAACTACGTGCGGGCACCGCCAGCTCCTAGCAGCTCCCTCTCCCGAGAGAGCACGCGAGTCGGGCCCGCAGGACGGTTATAAACGGAATTGGGGGCACGTGGGTCAGGAAAGGGGCCTTCGGGAGTGGCTCGGGGATTAGTCCCTTTGATCAATCCGTTCCGGGATCCCGGATAACCCCCAAAAAGGAGAGCGGCGTGGCAGGGAGGGAAGTAAGTCCGGATGGGCCCTCTCAGGACACAACGACGGATGGCTGAGAGGCCCAGGGACCCCCAGAAACACCGCGATATGGTTGGACTCTGAACCCAAGGCGCCCGCATCCCTCCCGGAAGAACCCCCAAGCTCCACCGGGTGGGGCCCACGCGGCCGCCGGGAGGGGACAGAAAATGCAACCGTCCACGAGACGCGGAGCCAAAAACCCAATGGCCACGGGTCCCCTCGGCACCCAGGGTCCCCTGCGCCCCCCGCCCCGACCCTACGCACGCGCGGGCGGCCCGGGAAGCCATCCGGGACAGGAGGCGGGGGCACGGACCGTTTCGCCGGGGTCCGGATCGGCTTCCACGCTCACAGCTCCAGGTACCTGCGAAGGGAAGTCAGCTTCCCTGGCCAGGCCTAGGCTGGCGAGAAGGGCTCGAGTCCCCGCACGGCACCGCGCTTGGGGGCTCCTTTTGGGGGCCGAGGTGGGGAGCAGCTTCACGGTCCCTGGACCTGGCCCGGCCGAGAAGTGCTGGGCACAGGAGCGAGCAGCCGGCTTAGCTGGCCAGGGCGTTTTTACGAGAGCCTCCTGGGAAGTTTCCTTCTGGAAAAATCATTAAGGCGGACTGATCCCGATTAGAAAGAAACAGGGCTCCAGGGAAAACGTGCTCCCCGCCGGCCATCAGGAGGCCTGCAGGGGAGGTCTAGGACACGAAGGCAAGCTGGAGCCAGGCCGAGGCTCCTGCCTCGGGCCACCCCGACTCGGCTGCCCCTGCAGAGCCCCGAGCGCCCCCAGCCCTGACCGCTGCCTCCTGGCCGCGGCAGCGCCGATAAATCAGCCAAGTGATTACTGAACGTAAACTCCTGTTACTTAAGTGTCCTCCGAGGGGTAATCGTGTTTGTCCCTATAAATCCCGACTGCGCTCACGCTCACCAGCGCTTCCGCCCGACGCGCTTGTCCGCTCAAAGGGGGCACACGACCCACAGGAGCCATCCCACCGCCCCGAGCTGCAGTCGCCCTCCTCAGAGGGACCCCCAGAGGCAGGGCTTGAGGGGGGGTGGGAGGGTCCCTACGACGCCGAAGGCGTCCCCCGAATTCCACGACAGGGTAGGCCTCACCGATGGCGGGAGGCTCGGTCCTCCTTCAACTAGAACCTTCCCTAGGACATATGTTAACTCCAGCACCCTCCATGGCGAGTATGATACTGCGTGCGAGAGAGCGCGTGGGGCGCGTAAATGGTGTGAGTGTGAGGACACACAGGTGTCGGTGTCGCGGGAATGAGGTGCACGCACGGGAGGACATGAGTGTAAAATTGTGGGAGACGCATGCAAGCGAAGGTGTACGTAAGGGGTGTGCGACGGTGGGCGAGTGCGAGTGCGAGTGGTCTCTGGGGGCCCGAAAGCGCATTCGTGTCTTCGCAGAGGGTTCCCTTCCCCTCCCGGAGGGGCTGTCTCCAGCGGCCTAAATCCCGCAGCAAATCCCACGCTCGGTCCTCGGAGCTCGGCGACCGCGCGGGGCCTACGACCCAGTGGGAAGCGAGGCGCTTGCCGGGGCGGCTCCGGCCTCTTTTCCCATCGCCCTCCCCGACTTCCCGGGGCCGGACGGGTGGGGGCTGCCGACGGTCCTGGGCGCCTTCCTGCTCCAGCTGCTGCAGCATCTGCTCCAAGGTGGTGGTGGCGGCGGCTGGCGCGCGTTGCCTGTCCCGGCTGAGGGGCTGCGGGCGCGCTGGAGACTCCGCCGTGTGGCAACCCAACGCGGGGCCTGTGTGTGCTATCGAATTACTTATTCATAGAAAAAAAGAGGGGGAGAGAAAAAAAAAGAAGTCACATGTCCGGGTTATACGTATGCGAAGAGAAGCAGCAGAAGGAGGAAAAAATTAAGGCGAGCAGGAGGAGGAGGAGGAGAAGCAGCGGCGGAAGCGGCGGCGGCGCAGGAGTTGGTGGCGGCCGCGGCGCGGCCGGGGACAGACACCCACCTGTATGAGTGCGCTTGTGGATCTTGAGGTTCTCGGAGCGCGCGAAGACCTTGCCGCAGCCCGGGAAGGGGCAGGGGAAGGGCTTCTCGCCGGTGTGCACACGGATGTGGTTGATGAGCTTGTATTTGGCCTTGAAGGGCTTGCCCTCGCGCGGACAGTCCTCCCAGAAGCAGACGTGGCTGCTCTGCTCGGGGCCGCCCACGTGCTCCACCGTGACGTGATTCACCAGCTCGTGCATGGTGCCGAAAGTTTTGGAGCAGGGCTTGGCGCCGCCGGCCGGGGGCGGTGGCGGTGGCGGCGGCTGCAGTCCGGCCAGCTCGTCGGGGTCGATCCACTTGCAGATGAGCTCCTGCTTGATTGGCTGCCGCATGTAGCGCAGGAAGGCCCCGGCCGCCCCTGGGAGGTGGGGGTGGTGCTGGTGCGGGTGCTGCGCGGGCGCCGGCGGCGGCGGCGCCGGGGGCGGCGCGTGGTGCTGCAGGTGGGGCCCGGGCCCGGCCGCTGCGGCCGCCGCCGCAGCCGCCAGGTTCAGGTTTAAGTTCACGGCTCCGTAGCCGTGCAGGGCGGCGGCCGCAGCGGCAGCCACCGCCCCGTAGTGCGCGTCCCCCGAGCGCGGCGCGAAGGGCGGTTCGGCGCGGCCGTACAGCTCGGCCGCCGCGGCTGCCGCCGCCGCCGCCAACCCCAGGCGCATCTGGCCGTTGAGCGGGTGCGGGTGGCCGCCGGGGGCTCCTGGCGTGTCGTGCAGCGCGGTGAAGAGCGCCGGGCCGCCGCCGCCGTCCGGGCCAGCGTAGGTGCCGCTGGCTGAGATGAACATGCCGGCCGAGTGGGGAGGCGGGGCCGGGTGCTGGGGGGAGCCGGTGCCCGACCGTTGCTCCCCTCCGAGCGGGGCCCCGTGCATGGCCGCTGCGGGGGCCGTGGCGGAAAGGTCCCTCCGGAGGACGAAGTCCCTGCTGTGGCCTTTGCCGCTGCTGCCGCCGCCGCCACTGTTGGTGGTGGAGTAGCCCGAGAGGGCAGGAGGAGGAGGAGGAGGCGGGGGAGGGGGAGGGGGTGAAGGGGAGGGAGGAAGAGGAGGGGCTGGGGGCGGGGGCGCAGAGGGCTGCGCGCCACTGTTGCCCCCGCCACAGGGGTAGCTGCCGGCGCCAGGGTGCGCGACCGAGGCTGCAGCAAGGGCGGCGGCCGCCGGAGCCTCGGGGTGTGCCAGGAGCGCCTGGGAGGGAGGGCTGAGGCCCAGCGCGCTTGCCTGGGCCATGTGCTCGGGTCCGAGCGGAGTGGTGGCCACGCCGGGGTCAGTGCCCAGGTCCCGCGGGCGGAGGTGCGCGACGGCGGCGCGGAGTTGGGAGTGGGCGGGCGGGCCGGCCAGCGCCGGGAAGCCTGTCATATTCTGAAGCGGCTGGACCTGAGCCGTTGCCAAATCCGCTAATCTCAGCTCTGGCGGGTTCCTCTTGCTCAAAGGGGGCTCCATCAGAACTACACAATCAGGCCCATAGACCCTCACCGGGGGGACTTTTTTCCCTCTGCCCGCCTTCAAAAACATGTATATACTAGGCGCTCTTTAACTTCTTTTGTCCTGGCCTCCTAACTCTGCTTATTCCTGTTCCCACTCTATCCTCCAGCGATTGGCAGAGTGAACACCACATTTGAGCTGCACAGTGGGACCGAGATTTTGGAAATGGCACGGGTGGGATTGGAGGGAGCCGCGTGATTGGCAGTAGCCTCGGCTGCCCGATTGGCTCCTGTTCAGGCCCTGGGCCCAGCGGGGATCCGCCCCCGTGCTCGCGGCCGCCTGCGCTTTCCCCAAGCGCCCCTCCTCTGCTGGAGCCCCGCATCCCCGCCTCCCCAGGGATGCCCAAGTTGCACTTGCAGAAAGTTTGAGCCTGGCCTGCGCGCGCAGCCCCCGGCGTTCCCCCAGACGCACCTCGCGGAGCGAGCGCCGGCACCCGGGCAGAGGGCGCGGGGTGGTGAGGGGCTGGGGTCCCCCTAGGAGCAAAGTTCCAGTTTCAAAAACCTCGACCTCACTTCTCGCTGTGTGCCTTCTGGCACCCAAGTACTTTCTACCTCCACCTCCCTTGCGGGGTGGAAGAGCCCTAGGCTGCTCTTTCGGGGAGGAGGGTGAACAGCCCGTCCTACCTGTAGTGGTGATGCTAGAAACTTCTTATTTGGACACCCAACCCGCCTAGCGCTGAACTAGGGCGCACAGACAGTAGACGGAGTGAAGAAGATAAAGTCTATTGCTTGCAAGACAACTTCAATGATTTGGCTCCGCGAAACACCAGGTGAAGTCAAAATAAGTATTTCCCCAGAGGAACCGTTTTACCTCGACTTTTTAGCTCATGGAGTCCTTTTCAACATGGTTCAAAGGAGTTGGCTCGAAGTGTAATCTCACTACTCATCGGTTCTAGATCTGCCACTTTCAATTAGATCTACAGTATGGGCGGGGGAGAGGAGATCGGGCAGCGATTCTAACTTTTGCCTTTCGGGTATACAGTGGCAGGGCAGGCCAAACAGCATCTCTTCAGAGACAAGCCGCTAAATAAGCACCGTCCTTTAAGCAGAAGTTCTCCTTCCAGTCCAGGTCACAGTCCACATGTATGCCTCAGTTTCTTTGACCGGTCCACAATTAGAATTGATCCAATAAAATATTATTTTGAAATCAATAAATATATCTGCTTTTTATTTGCTAATAATATTTCACCTTATCGTTTTCAATAAACCAGCCTAAGATGTCTTATTTGAAAACCATAAAAACTGGCTTTCTAAAAAGCGAATCCCATCCCTTTCCAGTGGTTTGGTAACAAATCGATTTTTTTAAAATAGAAATTTCCTGCATAACTTTTTGGCAGACAGAGAAATGTGGGGCCCCTCCCCCCAAGTTAGGGGTTGTAGTGCCCCAAAGCGTCCTTTTCAGATTTTAAAAGAAAGCATTTTTTGAAATTTGTGATGTTTCAAAATGCTTGTATATTAAAGTCCAGGGTTTTTAATTTTTTATTTTGCTGCCATCCGTAACATTACTTGTAAAAAAAGTGATAATGATTAGAATGTGATTTTTTTTTCCTTTGGAGATACAATAAAACATGTTTCCAACTTAATTCGTTTGCAGTCCAAGTAAAAGTAGACTGCACAAAGCCATTATCGGGGCGATGATCCTGGGAAGTAATCAGAAATATTCTCAAAAGAGTCGATTAGATAGCACCATTTACATTGGTATGAACAATGTTTAACAGGGGGCTTCGGTATGAGACTTAGGAATGTCATTTCTTGTATAAAACTGACAAGCAAACAAAGACAATGCTACCATCAAATTCCAAATGGACTTTTTCTTTAAGCTTCAATGAAGTTCAAATATGGGGAATTAAAGGTGTGTGTGGAAACACAACGAAAAAAATTTAATAAACAGCAGTAACAAAATCCTCATCTCTATTTGGAGAGGACGAGTCCTTTCACAATTTTTTGTGTCAAACACTTAAAACATTTCAAGCCAACCAGGCGAAGGTCGATCGAGAACTGTGCCATCTTTATAGATGGTTTATGAAGAAAGCATTATATTTGGAATTATCATCACCGTCTTGATTTCCTCTCAGAACATTTACGATGCCTTTCCTTTATTTGAATTTCTTGGCAATAAGCATTAATTCTTGCAGTAATGGCAGCTTTGGGTTCAATCCTGCAGGTTATAAGTAAAAATAAAAACAAAAAGAATAAATAAAGAAAGAAGAAAATAAACACAACCTAGCCTTTAATATGGACTGTTGAGCATTTTTATTGTGCAATAAAATGGGTACCTCCACCCCCTTCAAAATAGCTTTTCGTCAAAATTATAACTGCTTTGTTTTATTGAATTGCTGAAATTTAATGGTTTAATGGGTGAAGGCATGAAGGAAAGGCTGTAAAAATGTGAATAATGGTGCAGCAGAGCCGTGCGGAATCTGGAACCCGCCTCCTTGTACAACTCTTGTTAAACACAGCATGATATGTATCTGTCATCGATTTAATATGTCTTAATTCAAATATAGCTCCCTGATCAATTTCTTTTTATGGAAGCCTTAAAAAAGAAAAGACTTCTTAGGAAATAATAGAGATTTGGGGAGCGATAGGAAAGAGGGATATTTACAAAGTGAGTTTAATGAATATTTGCAAATTTATGACCAAACCTGGACCCTAAAAAGATAATTGACTCAGGTAAATCGACTTGAGATGCTAATTCTTAAAATAAAAGACTGGGAGCAAAATTTCAATCAACACCAATAAGGCGCCAATAAACCGCCTGCCAATTAAACCTGAGAATAGGCCTAGCTAGATGGTCATCAGGAAGGCTTGCAGTGGATTTCCGGGATTGCCTTTCTTTATAAAAGAGCTTTTTATTTTGTAGAAACCCTTTTTGTTATTGTGATGACCCGCCTGACCCCAGGTGCGCTGTTTCTTTTTCAAGCTATTTGGGAACCAAATCAAACCCCCTTAACATCCCAAGTTTCTAAAGACCCAATAACTGTGTCACACTTCCTAAATAAACACCAACAATTTCCAGGGCGCTGAAGGGAATAATAATACTAGTTTTAAAAGCAGGTGGCTGTGGAAGGCGTTATGTCCATTCTCCTTCTGTGGGTTTGGCCCGTATGTTTCGACGGTGGTGCTGGTCGTCAGGGCCAATCCTCAAACCCATGCCCCTTTCTGCGTTTTACAGTGGAGATGCCTGTGTGGAGGCAGCAAAGTGGCAAGCCATGGAAACATGGAAACATCCTTTCTGGAGTTAGCAAGGGCTATTGCGGGGCACCTATTTCCAGACCTCTAGGTTGCACCCCCAACCCCAACCTCCTTCCAGCCCCAGACAAAGGTGTGAGGAGGCTGAGGAGGTGAGAGGCCTAGTAAATGGCCAGCTAACTGGAACCCAGGTTAGCTGAGCTAACCGCGCTCAGCTGCCTGGAGCCCCCTGGACCCGATCTCTGGGGATGCTCGGGCTGGCGCTTTCGGCTCCCCGCTGCGCGGACGGGGGACTGAGGCTCCACCGCTCCCCGGGGCCCTCGGTGTGTCACCGAACACAGCCAAGTTTCCTGCGATGGGTATGGGCAATTAATAAACTCTAAGGGAAGTGAATTAGACATTTCCTGGCTTTTGAGCCTTTGTTTGATTGTTTCTGCAGGCAGAGGGAGGGGAAACTGGGGGGGGGGACGGTGGGGTGGACAAGAAAGGAGCTGGGGGACCCACCGAACCGCCTTTTATTGCCTCTGCAATTGCTTTACAACCCTCTGGTCCCGCGTGGTTTCTGTGAGGGCGGCCTCCCTGCAGAAGGGCTGGGTGTCGGCGGGTTTGGAGCATCTAGTGCCATTTGGGTCACGGCAGAGGCGGGTTCAAGGGCGAATGGGGCACCCGAATTACTAGAGGAATCGAAGGACCTTTGAAGCCCAGCCCAAGGGCGCCAGTGGGTGCTAAACAGGAGGGGGATTGCTAGCCGACACTGGGAAGAGCCTGATGGTCCACTCAGACCTTTCCTAAAAGCTAGGGCGAGGTAGGCAAAGGCACCGGTACAGCTGCATTTTAGTAGAGCTGCGCCAGGGCCCTAAGTGATGGGGACTTGGGGTTCAAGGGCTTTTCCCAAATCAGGTTCGCCATGCGCTATGCAGGGAGTTTCAGGGCAGCCTCTCCTGGTCGCCTGCCCTGTCTGCACGGGGCAGGGATCGGATTCCCCATCCCCACCCTCCAGCCTTGGCCACTCACCACCTGACTTGCGTGGGAACTGCGACTGGCCCAGGGCCTTTGGGTGCTAAGAATCACTCCGCAATTCACAGCCCTCTCAGGGGTTCTCCGAGGGTTACCGCCCTCCTGAGCTGGCCCTGAGTCCTGAGGCTCCACAGATATGTGTGGAGCTAAGAGTAACCAGAAAACAGAAAAGTGCTTCTTCTAATAGCACTATCACACTTATGTAGACTTCATGAGGATGAAAAGGTAGAAGACTGGGGCTGTGTGACCGTGACTGATATGTTGGATTCCGTGGGGATTTGGTTTGTCTGGTTGTTGTTTGTACAGTTATGAAGTTGGCCTATCCCACGTCCACCTCACCTTTGTGGCTGAAAGCCATTGAAAAACTATCACTTCCTTTACTTCCTTACTACTAAAGAATAAGTTGAATAAAATCTGCCTGTCATCAAATACTCTCATTTGGTTTGCAATCATTTTTACCCTCAGAGATGGAGGTTGTTGGAGAAAGACCTTTGACCTACAGTTGACCATTAGGATTGATAATTTCTTGGGAAATGCATTATTGTTCCAAAATATGCCCAGAAGGTCAAAACAACCACAGAACTCTCTTACATGTTCACAGTTCATATAATCACTCAATATTTATTTCTATTGGCCCCACGATGTGCTTCTCCTCCCCTTCATTTCTTATCCTTTAGGATGTTTTTGGATGGGAAATAAAGGAGAAGTAGAGGTTGTGCAGTTAAAAATAAAATCTCAAATTTCTTGGGTAGTTCCTCTCACTCCACACCCTTTCCAATATCTATACTTCAATATTTGAAGAAGCTGCTGAGATAAATCAAATAGTGACACGTTGATGGATTTACTTGTGTAAGCAATATGGTTGACATATGGCATTGCTATTTATGAATGACAGCATAAATTGTATTACAAAGTCTATTGCAATAATACTGCAGTTTATTGGAAAGCTGCTTGCCTGTCATCTGTATTCAATCTCTCTGGATATAGTTCGCCTGGGAGCCCAAAGGATAGGTCTTCAGAATAATTAAACACATTCACATAAGCTAATGCCTCCTATTTTTTGTT